TATTAGCAGTCAGTGATGTACTACTACTAGTGCAAAAAAACAGTATGCAGTGATATTGAATTTCAAAACATCATTAAACTTCCTGTCATCTGTCTGATTTGTCTCAAAAGCCAAAATACTACACAAATGTAGGTCTTTGTTTTTTTAATAGTCGGCCTCAACTCTACCCAATTTCCTTTGAAGGGCTACATGTGATTTCCTTTTTTTTTTAAACACAAGAAGTTTAGAAGCAATCTTTTTAAAGGGAAATTGAACTGTTAAAATCAATTCTAAAACAGAAAGCAGTAAAACCAGAGAAGCAGACTGGTGAAGTTTCAATGGAATCAGACAAACATAAGTAAATATAACATAATATTTAATTATACACAGGATATGCATTTTCAAATCAGCTGAATTGTAAGTATCTGACAGCTCTTCTATTTGGCCAAAACACACAAAAAGACTAAAATATATAATTTTCAAAATGTGCAATTCAGCAGTGATCATTTATATTTTGGAAGACCTACATGTACCGGTACATGTATATAACAAGCTTCTCCCTTGAGACACTACTCAAAATATATAATTGATCATGATCCATTATATATTTCGAGTAGAGAAAATCGGAGAACTAGATATTATAGAATTTAGGCAAACAGGAATACATCTCAATCCCCTTACCAAAATTGCTGATTTGAGATTTGCATAGATTTAGTGATCTCATATTTCAAACATTAATTTTTGCTCCAATTTATTCAAACTTTCGCCATTTTCTTGCCCTCAGTTTTCTGCTCTCGCACAAATAAACTCATTAAAAATGTTGGATTGCCCTTTAAATCTCTATCTTTAAGTTGTAGTGTCACAATAAACAAAGTATTGGTACCTAAGCCAAAGTACAAACATGTACATGTAATAGTAGGCACATCAATTTGTTGAATATGTTCCTGATTTTTTTCTCTCGATACATCTACTAGGGAAGACATTCCGCTGTACACGTGTACAATGTAGGTCACTAGATCAGAATCATGTACAGTCAAGGCAGAAATGTTGACCTTAGAGTCTTCACGTCTAGCATTAATAAATCTTAAAATATATATAATTTTATAAATTCTACTGTACCCTTTTCACATCTACCAAATATTGCTTAACCCCGGGAAATAGGTGGGGCTAAGGGGGCTCTTAGCCCCACCAATTCCTTCCTTAGCCCCACCAATTACCCGGGGTAATTTTAGCCAGCTTTCTGTTCGCATTACGTTTTGCCAAAGTGGGCTAACCCCACAAATAGTACGGGACTATCTGGCCCTGCAAAATAGCAGGGTTAGCCGGGCAATTGCGGGGTTAGCCGGGCAATTGTGGTGCTAAGCTGCGTAGTGTGAATCCGAACCGGGCTAAGGAGAAGCGGGGCTAAGCAACAGCCAATCACAGACAGCGTGGTCGTGTGGTCGTGAATTTGCATTTATCGCGCGCTATGCATGCAGTTCACGTTACGCATGCATGCAGTTCACGTTACGCATGCGCGGTAGCAAAAGCATTAATATTCATGAGCTATCGAATAGTCCGGGGCTAAGGCGAACGTAGTGTGAATCGCGAGAAATTTCTTAACCCCGGCTAAGCACATAGTCCGGGGTTAAGAAAATAGATGTGAACAGCAAAAAAAATAGTATGGGGTTAAGGATAGTATGGGGTTAAGGATAGTCCGGGGTTAAGAAAAATAGATGTGAAAAGGGTACTGGAGAACTATCCTCTGTGGTAGTACCGGTAAAGCTGTATCCTGCAAATCTATCAAGCCTGAATTTGTCCTTTGAATGAAAACTTTTAAACTTTTTGTTACTGCACCAATACCTTCTCAAATGTTCTTTTATAGTGTACAATACAACTTAAGTATCTCTCTCTCTCTCTCTCTCTCTATCTCAATTTAATTTTATATTTCCAAGTGTGTATCTCTCATTCTCTCTGCAGATCTCTCCCCTCTTTCTAATACTCTCTAAGTCTCTGTTTTTATATTCACAAACTCTACAAATCGTGTTAAAAGAAAAATTAAGCAAATCTTCCATGTACAGGTGTATCACATGTATTTGATCAAAATTGTTTTTACGCTGTTCAACATGGGCAATCACATCTTTTATTTTTTATTTTTTAATCTGGCATGGGCAGTTTGGTGGCCCCAGGCCGCTGTTGGAGACAGGTCTCCCATTTAACCTACTCAATGTCCATGTATTATGACCAAAATACAGATTCAGGGATCTCCATCTTCCTCAACTTGTCCTTCCTGTAATATTTTTTTTTTAATCCATGCAGTGTATGTACATTCATTTAAAATGATTGGACTTCATGCACAAGTATACTCATTTAGAATTTGCTAGAAGTCCATAAAAAGTGTAAACTGAACAAGACAATTTTTTGCATACACCACCAGGTAGATATCTCTTCCCATGGTAATGCTGTGGAGTCTGTAACAAAAGAACAGTACTTTCCTCTGAAAACATGTACTGTACAGTGTATACTGTATAGTGACAACCAAACACACACAAATCTGTTTCCATGTTTCCCTATATTGGATTCAAAACATGATCTAGAAGACTAGAACTCATCAATGAAAGAAATAACCAAATATACATTATCTATATTCTAGTCTCACTCTTTGGCAATAAATACCCAAGTACAATTTCCTTTGGAGCTGCACCTGAACATCTCATGTCACTGTGTCAGTGTACAATCAACATTAAGCAGATGAAATGTACATGTACAGTACATGAACTTGCAATCTTGTTTTGATTGATAACCATAACTCAAGATTGTTTACATAGATATTGTTTCAACCAAAGTGGGCCCCCAGTCCCCCATGGTTTAATCATATCTTAAATCCTTAAGTGTCTAGACTGTCTGATAAATCAAAAGATATGAGGAGTGGCATGAAATTGATATTCTTGTCAGCTAGACAATAGATGAATATAATGCACTTTGGTATTGGGACAGTGCATTATTAATCTATGAAGTTAAAACCCGGGATCTTCTTGGATATACATGTAAAGTTATCAACCTGCTTTGAATAATGACTCTTTTGTTAAATCTCTTTAATTAAGTGTTAAGTAAACTAATAAGTGAAAAAAAAATCATATAGTTTATTTTTTTCCCAAAACAAGTATTACACCAAAACTTGTTCTGTAAGTTAATTACAAAAATAAAAATAAGGTAAACGTAAAACAACAACAACAATTCTTCACATGTTTAGCCAGACAGGGATCCGATATTAGATGACCATTCAGAAGAATAAGAATTCATCTTGAGACTTAAACCTTAATGACAAGGTGTATCTACAATGTATCATGCACACACTGCAACATCAATACTACACTTATCACGATTATCTTTTTCCTCTTTCTCTCTCTCTTTCTTTCTCTCTTTGCAGAAATAAAGTGTTACAAAGTACAAGCAAACATAAAATGGAATCTGTAAACATAATTACATTGTAAAAAAAATGTAATTGCATCAAAGGGCTTTTTGAGCTACCCAGTATGCAACCATGGAATTCATACTGTACTCCTGTTTCCTATGTACATGAACATGTACATGACCTAAGAAAATGATGTGATAATTTAAAATGTCATTTTCTGTACAGAAAACACAGATTAGTAAAACATATGGTGTCAAATGTGATAACAAAAGGTCAAAAGTGCATCATCATTCAGTTAATCATTTGTGTAGCCTACATTACATGTACATGTATGTCAATATAACATTTCAGATCTGTGTTTGTTCATCTCTCTCTCTCACACACACATACACATACTCTCTCTCTCTCTCTCTCTCTCATGCAAATATCAAGAATTTTCAATCAATGGTAAAAGCTATGAACAAGCGTGTACAATGTAGATATAGTTGACTACTATGCATTGATAATGACTAGTACAGTGTACTTAGAGGTACTCGGTATACAGCAAACACAGGTATCATTCTGTGGAGCTACATCCTTTTTATTTGTGCTGCACAAAGATTCAATCAGCTTAATTTTGGCCATTACAATTAGAAGTGGGTTATTGATGTACATGCAGGCAAATGCTCATTTACCCTTTACAGCTAATTTTTTTGCATGGTATTACCAAAGAAAAAAGAAGTCAGTCAATCACTCAATAGTGTCTGACGGTGAAGTCTATAAAGTAAACGGGTTTCCTTGCATAATGTAAATACTAGGAGTAGGACACTGCTAACGTTCAGAGTTCACAGACAGGACATACTGTACAGGAACATGACATATTCATAGTTCCTGCAAAGTTCTACATAATTTGATGTTGGCTGCAAAAGGGATACACTACCTCTAATGCAAGTACACAGTAAAACCTGTCTCAGTGCAGTGGCCACCAATCTATAGTGGCAATGTACAGTATGGTGTCCTACCCGAAAATTGAAAATGTGTGTTGTTGGACCTGCCTACAACTTACAATGTACATGTACAAGGGCCACCTGTCTACAGTGGCCACTTTCTCTGTGCCCCTAAGGTGGCCTAAATAGACAAGTTTGACTGTATTTTCAATCTCAATCAATTACAAGATGTCAAATGAGTGTATGCGTAGTTGTGTCATGTTTGTAATTACATGTCCTTTGATTTCTAGTTTACATACTAAGGTATAATCAGGTGCCGTATTTCGAAAACAATTATATTGTATGTTAGGAAATGATGCTAATTGTCACAACAACTCAAATTGCACAGAACAAACGCTTACCATTGGTGCATGCCCAGATTTTTAAGTTAACTTTACGCGAGCACAGCCAGCTTTGCGCAGACATTAACCAATGACTTGTCCTAATTTTGAATTTTTAGTAAAATTAACATTGTTTTACTAACATAAAATATAACATTGTTTTCAAAATACCACTCCAGATTATCAGAGCCGTCATTCATTACTAAAAAAAACATCTTCTCTAAATCCAAAGCCTCCAAGATTAAATTCCTCACATCTTTTGATTTGTTTACAAAAAATTAGCCTATAATAGACTGGTATATGCCTACATTACATATTTACCTGATACATTTATTTTGCCTCCTTGAAACCAGGCAATTTTGCCCTCTTGAAGATTGCAGTCCATCACTTCATCAAACTTTCTGTACCATCGCAACCTATTTCTTGCTAGTGTTCCCCAGAAAATTTCAGGTTCATTGAGTGAAAATTTATACAGTTCTTCATGCGAGTTAAATGAATACCCAAGTGCTTCAAAATCGTTCAGCTCTGGGATGTTGGTTGATGAAACTTGCATGGCACGCCCCACTGCTGTACAGCGGAACGATCTTACCTCAGCTCCCCGAGTGGTCAGGCGGCTGGGACTCCCTCCGTTCCGCTGGAAACAAAAGGCGTTGGAGCTCCGATTGGCAGTGTTTGTGAATGAATTTACGGCATTCCCAAACTGATTCAACCGTTTCAAGCTTAATCTGTATAACGCTGCCATGTTAAAATATGCTGGATCTCCGATGTAGTACAGATCAAGTCTTCAATATTGTAAATATAGTCTGTTTCGATAGTTGAGATGGTACAACAACAACGAATGAATTTCGCGCGCGTAACGTTTATTTACCGTACCTGGCAAGCGTACTGCACTGGCCTGGGTACGGTGCGTGGGTACGGTGGGTGAGACGGTATCATAATTTAGGGGCGCGCGCTCGTATGCCGTATTTTGTAACACATGGATGCTAATAACGCATCTTCATCTCTGGCAAGGGAGCCATGTTCGAGCAGCGAAACATACAAGCTCCAAAGTTCAAACGAGACGTACCCCCTCCCGAATCGCAAGAAAGTGCACGCATTGGGCCATCGGGGGGGGGGGGGGGGGGGGAGGCACGTGTTCCCATTCTCTCTCGATATCTCTCACTCACTTACTCATGCACTCTTACATTTTCCTATTTAAATCGTGCCACTAGTCATTCATCATTTTTTTTAATCTACGAACCTCATTACCCCCCCCCCCTTCTGCCCGATAAAGATCGAGGTTGTGGCCCTCGTCATTCACCTACAATAGATTCGGTGCCACCCGACTATGAATTTATTGACATATTATGTCCCCAACTACATGTGCAGCCCCGCCCATATCATTATTTGACAAACTCATTATGATACAGATAATAAAAATAGAATCTTTCGAGTAGGTTAAGTTTTATTGGCTACTTATCGATACTGATAACAGTAATATAATAATTATTTTTGATCTCTCTATAATGCTTTGGACCCTTTGGTATTCATCAGGAAACGGTTTTTGTTAATGCCTTATGGATACTCACTCCGTGCTGTATTCATTGATGAGAGAGGTATCAATTAATATGTAAATAAGATAAACATTTTAAATAGGAAGTTTGTTAACCTTGATTTAATGAGTAATCCAATGATTGTAACTGTTATCATTGATATAGCCGACGTGATTCTTACTCAGAAGAAATAGAATAAACAGTATCTGCATCATGAAGTGGGTTAAAGGGATAGTTGAGTTCTATTTTCAGACAGCACTTTAAAGTGCATGGTTATTGCTCTTGACATTGCTAATGCCCTTTCAGAACCTAAAATTGCTATGAAGGTAATTTTAGACCCCAAAATGTGTGAAATTTAGCCAATACGATCATCCCATACCAGTTCAGCTCCACTTTAAAAAAAATACGGTGACCGTTAATTTATTATTTAATTAATAATAACAATACATGGGCCGGCTGGTTGTGCGTAATATAAGCAGCACGAGAATGCCAACACAAAATCCATCATCGGCATTGGCTGAAATACGACGTAAAAGGCAGGCGCGGATCCAGGATTTCTTAGGGGGGGGGGGCCCAAATTTGAAATTATGCGAGCCAAATATTGGTACGTAATGGCGACCAACAGTGACGTCATGCGGGGGCGGGGGGGGGGGTCGGTGAAGGGGGGGGGCGAGTTACCCCCTCCCAGGCTTTGAAGTTTCATTATATTATTAGAGAAAGAAGACGATTCGTTGTACCGTTCTCGAAAATAATTCTCGTCTGATTTTAGTTTCCCCCCTCCCGCGCGAAGGGCGGAAGCTTTTACGTTTCAATAAATCATTAGAGAAAGAAAACTATTCGTTGTACAGTTTTCGACTCTTAATCCTTGTCTAAAATCAGTCCCCCCCCCCCCTCCCCCTCCTGCGCCTAGCGCGGAAGCTTCTACGTTGCATTAAATCATTAGAGAAAAATGACGATTCGTTGTACAGTTATTGACTCTTAATCCTCGTCTGAATTCAGGTTCCCCCCCCCCTCTCGCGCAAAGCGCGGAAGCTTTTAATCTTCATTTAATCGTTAGAGAAGAAGACGATTCATTGTACCGTTCTCGAAAATAAACCTCATCGGAATTTAGTTTCCCCTCCATCCCGCGCGAAGCGCAGAAGCTATATTACGTTTCATTAAATCATTAAAGATTCGTATTACCGTTCTCGCCTCTGAATCTTCGTCTGAATTCAGTCCCCCCCCCCCCCCCCCCCTCCCCTCCTGCGCGAGGCTTTGACGTTTTATTATTAGAGAAAGAAAACGATGCGTTGTACCGTTCTCTATACTCTTAATCCTTGTCTGAATTTCAAAGATGTTCTTTGTCTGCTCCTTTTTCTTCCTATACGTCCTCTTCCGATTGGAGGGGGGACCGCCGCCCCCTCCCCCTTGGCTACGCGCCTGTGGTCAGATAAACACATCTTGATACCTTGTCCGACCCCGCAAGCTCAGGGCCCGTATTCAATAAACTTCTTAAGCATGAAATCTAAGTACTTTTTCTTAAATTTTGGCTAAGAAAAAATCTTAGCCAAAAATCGTATTCTATAACAGCAATGGGGACTTAAGAAATTTGCCTTAAGATTAAGAAGGATTCTTAGATTTTATCTAAGAAAAAGGACTTAAGTAGCATGTCGTATTCTAATACAATCGAGATATCTAAGATAAGTAAGAAATCTACCCTATATTTAAGCATACTATGAGGATGCTTAAATGGGGCTTTGGCACCGGCAGCTCAGTGATGCTGCAAGCAACCGCTTCGGATTTCGATCAAATGGAATAAAAACAATGCATGCAGCGCGAGCGCAGGTTATCAGTTGACCTATATAACAACGTAAGCTTCGCGCGCGTATACAGCGTCGACGGCGCAGCGCGCAGGAGCGCCATAGGCTCTGTGTACTTGTACTTATGTATGTTTGTTTGTACACAAAAAACGAGTAGTATAGCACATGCATAACACTAAATCATGACATGGCTGTCGTATATAAAGAAACCGTCTCTTACTTTATTAGTCTTTGGCGCTAAAGTATGGAAACAGGGAATAATGTGCAATCGGCATAATATTAGGTGAGACAAAATTTGTTATAGTATGAATCTGATAAAGGTTACATCTAGCCATTTGATTAATTTTAGGCCATATCATAACAGTAGACGATGTAAAACAATGAAAGGGTAGCTCCAAATCCAATGCTAGCGCTGGTCGGCCGGCTAGCGACGGCGCTCCCTTCATACTCACAGACCCTGCGGTGCTGCGACATAATAAGTAAGCCCGGTTGGGCTCCTCGGAGTTGTTTGACAGAAAAGTATAAAAAGCCTACAGTGGATGTTAGATCTAGCCTCAGGTGGTCTTGACTAGACTGTTTTAGTGTCAGTTGGTCAATCCCGAAATAATTATGTGAGCATCGTTCCTCCCTTACGCTCTCCCATACATGTTAGTGTATAATTTTCGTGCGGTGCGATTTTTATTTTAACACGCAAATTACATAGGCAAATCGAGTTGCAATTAATTCGCTCGAGTCGACCACATCAACTTTCCAACATGACGTCATCGGGTCTAAGAATTTGTCTTATCTTTCGTCTTAGCTAAGACAAACTGCTTTACGTGTTTAGAATACGGCTAAGGCAACTTTCTTAACCTAGACAAATTCTTAGACATTTTCTTAGACTTAAGAAAAATGTCTTAGAAGTTTATTGAATACGGGCCCAGGGGTTTAAGGCAATAAATTACGATCAGATAAGAATTCAGGGGCCCGCCTTAGGGCCCCTGGTGGGGTCGAGGCGGCGGAGCCGGCCCCGGAAGCTCAGGGGTTTTAGGCGTTTAATAAAGGTCAGATGAGCATATTTTGATGCCTCATTATTTTGTTAACACTGGCAGTTAACTATTCTCACTTTCTTGCTCTCATTCTATTTTATTTCTCTTTAATATACTTTGTCAAGAAAAGTGGGGGAGGGGGGGGGGGGGGAGCTCGAGGTTCTCGATCCCCGCCGTACCTCGGGCCCTGACATGTACGAATCTCAAGAATCATATTTTTTGCCTGGTTGTAAATTTAGGAATTTGTCATTTTTCAACAAACACATACAAACGTATAATTTACTAAAAAGTGAGGAAAAATTTCGGAAATTATGTCATTTCAGCATTATTTGTAATCCACCGTTGTGGAATTAGAAATAAACCACGTTTGAATTTGATTTCCCCCAAGCCCCCCCCCCCCCTCTATCAGTACGCCAGTATCTCCTCTTTTCCTTTTTTCTTTCCCTTTCCTTCCTTCTCTCTTATTTTTTTTTGATGGGGGGGGGGGGGGAACAGCCTGGGAGGCAAGGCCCTTTCGCCCCCTGATCTCCTTCTTCCCCCTTTTCTTTTCTTCTTCCTCTTCTTTCTTTCCCTTTTTCTCCTTTTTCCCTTTCCCTTCTTTTCCTTTCTTCTTTTTTTTTTTTTTTTTTTTTTTTTTTTTTTTTTGCGGGGGGGGGGGCAAGGCCCGCTCGGCCCCCCCCCCCCCTGGATCCGCGCCTGGTTAAAGGTGCTATTTCGTTTTTTCAACGGCTTTTTCAAATTATTTAATATTTGTGGTGGTACACAACTATTAGAAATATTTATGGATATTTTATCCGTCTCTGAATGATGTTGTCATTTAAATTGTATGTTCTTTCAAATTTGACACTCAGTTTTTCACCGAAAAAAATTGTGTAGCGCCCTCTGCAACAGAACTCAACTATCCCTTTAACATGGTGTTTATATCTACTTAATTATTAGTATTGCATTGGTACAGAAATGATGATGACCTTTTTGTCTGTCGGTTAGGAGAAACATTGGGCCAACCATAACAAAAAATGAAACTTGAAAGGTTTCATCACATCATCAATATGACTCGTGTTTAAGGTTTTGAAGGTGACTTGCAAGAAAGCTGATGGTCTTGCTTTTCCGGCCATAAATGGTAAACCATTATGCCAATTCCACGTTGGCTCGTTTACATCTATGATTTTTTTCTAAAAAATATCTTTCTGTAACATATTCTTTAATCACCGTTTTAATCATGGTTTTGATGAACTAAAGGTGATGGATGGGGAAGGGTGGCCAATGGAACACTTTGCTCTATAGTTAGCCTTCTACACGAAGTCTTTGAGCTCCTTGGGGGGGGGGGGGGGGGAGTGGTGAGGAGGGGTTATAACATCTCTTTCTGAAAAAAGGGAAAACTTTATCTAGGGATATAACTGGCGTTTACTATGATTTATTTAGAGTATTGGTGGAGTTACCAGTATTCCGTTTTCCCCATTTTAGTTAATTCAAAGAAAATGACATACACAATATGTTAAGATAAAAATGCATGTCTCGTATGTC